GCTGGTCCTGAACTATGATCAGCCAGGGAAACTGGGACTGGAGCCGAAAGAAGTGTGACAGTGGTGTGGTCGTGGAAGAAGCACTACGATGCGCCTCAGTCCAGCGTGAAGGAGAGCGATGCGACAGCAGTTGTCACGGCTGGACTAGTGACTACACAAGCACCTGCACTAAAAGCACAAGTACCTACACTAGCAACAGGCAAAGAGCCTAAGCTGGGTACACGCAAGCCAAGAGACCCATACGTGGCAGAATAAACAACATCCATAGACATATCAAACACAGGGTAACCACTACGAGATAGACCGGGCCAGATCGATGGCCTCGACTCAGACCCAAAACGCTCACGGTAAAGGTCGTCGAGGCGACTCTAGTGGACGCCATGGTGAAAGTAGGCGAGGAACGGCCGGAGCACGGAGCAAACTAAGCTAGAAGCGACTGGAGCAGGAACGGTTGGAAACAGATACGGCCGAAGCTAGAAACGGCAGGCTAGAAAGTACGGGCTCGAGGAGCGGCTGGAGCGAGGAGCGAGAACAACTAGGAGCGCCAGGTGAAACTAGGCGAGGAGTAGCGGCCTCCAGCCGCGGCGGAACGGTGAACCCAGCGAAGGAACGGTAGGGAACGGGAAAACGACGGTAAGAAAACCCGAGAACGGCCTGCTACGGGCCGTGGCGCGCTAGAGGTGCCAGCCGCTACGAGAGGTGGCAGTGGGCGGCTAGAAGGAGGTGTGGGCGGTTAGGAGGAGGTGTAGGCGGCTAGGAGGAGTTGTGGGCGGCAGGTACGTGAGGTGCTGGGGCGCGCATGTCTGGCTAGGGGCGCGCGTTCCTGGGCAGGGGCGCGCGCTGCTATGCCCGGGTGGCGCGCGCCGCTCTGCTAGGGCCCGTGCTGCCCTGTACGTGGGTGCACGCTGCATTACAGGGGCGCGCTTTGCTATGCACGGGCGACGCGATGGGCTGAGGCAGGGCGCATGGGCGACGCGACGCTAGGGCAGGGCGCACGGGCTACGCGACGGGCTAGGGTAGGGCGCACGGGCTACGTGACGGGCTAGGGTAGGGCGCACGGGCTACGCGACGGGCTGGGGCAAGGCGCACGGGCTACGCGACGGGCTGGGGCAGGGCGCACGGGCTACGTGGCGGGCTAGGGTAGGACGCACAGGCTACGCGACGGGCTGGGGCAGAGGCGTGATACGGAGGGCGTGGAGGGCGCGTAGGGGAGGACTAGGCGCGGAGGCGCGGAGGGCGCGGAGGGCGCTAGGGCGCGGAGGGCTCGAGGGCGCGAGCTAGGCTAGGCTAGGCAAGGATTCTAAACCTACTCGTGATACCATCTCAGAAATAGAATGCAACGGAATGCATGAACTAGGAAAGTGCATGATACAAATAGCAAACCTTGTACTCTCTACAGTGCTACTCACTACAACCTATTACCGTATAACAATGTTCAACACACCTTTGGCTGCTTGCTGATATTGAAGTTGCTGAAATTATGTTTCAAGGTACCGTATTTTTGAGTTCACCCTCTGCACTCAGGGGGAAAACAGTGGAAGTCTTAATTTCTCACACTGCTGTTGAAAACACACCTTTCATGAATTTGCTTACGAAAAATTACACTTACAATACAAAACAACGGCAGTCCTGGAAAGCCGGACCATAGCAAGGGCAATCAGAGCATTCTACAACTTGTACCCACGAGGCTCTTGACAAAGTGCTGACACTCCAAGCGTCCGGTCAACGAAACCTTCTACACACCGATGCAAAACAATCTGTTCGGAAGCAGGAAGCCTCGATGCAATCGCAAGTTGGAATTCCGTTTTTCTCCTTCATGCACTTGCCGTTGGGCCCACAATCCACCGATCATGCTTCTGCAGAAAAGAAAGCCAAGGCAAAAAGACAGATATTTCACCTTAGAAGCAATGTTGAGTACGGTATGCATGCAATCCTCCAAGGGTGAGGGGAGGCTAAAACACTGAAGTGGCAAGAGAGATCTGCTAATAACTCCAGACTCAAACCCAAGCAACTCCCAAGGACAGGTTAAGAATACAACACACAACCCCTTGCACTCCTCCAACCCACCAACGCAAGTGAGCTGGTCGGCAGACAGCTTGTAGCCGGGGTCGCAGAGACAGTACTCAATATCCTTAACTTGATCGATCCTGCACATGCCGCCATACCCACAATTCCTTTCGCAATAGACTGCAACGAAAAGAACTCATATAAAAAAAAAAAAAAAAAAAAAAAAAAAGTAAAGGGAATGATGAGAACCATGAGGTTGCAACCTTCACTGCTGCAGGCTGCAACAAGAGGTAGGATGCAACAAGCGCACATGAAACAAGAGGTAGGCTGCAACAAGCGCACATGAAACAAGAGGTAGGCTGCGTGAACCATGGCAGTGGTTGCAGATGCATTCGTGCACTCCAGCTCTTTCCACCACATGCCCGTGGCAGGAACTGCAGTTCCATTCACACTTGACAGTGCCCAAGCCAGAGCGTGAAGCTGAGCTGAGAAGAGTATAAACAGAGCTCATTGGCACATTCATCGTTGTGGAAACTGAGGTTTGAACTCACCCCATTCGGTACAATACGAGATGTAGTCCCCGCTCCTCCTGCACGTTTGGCTGTTCGGACATACCACATTGCATATGTCTGCAGTGGAATGGAGTTGAATGCAAGAGAAGGAAACAATTTGGTCAAAGCACTGATAGAAACCCAGGTGGAACACACATGATAGCAGCTCAGCTGAGGAGTTGCCAATCTGTACAGGCTCCAGGTTCCACCAACTCGTGGCCTCGAGGCCAGTCTCGAAGAGAGACCTTTCAACTCACCACTGCAGCGCCCACTCCCATCCACAGTGTAGCCCGCGGGGCAATCGCATTCTGCATGTCCGTTGCCCTCCTCATCAAATCTCTTCACGCATGTGCCTTCGCCACAATCCACTGTGTCACAAATGTCTGCAGGAAAGAAAACCAAGGCGAGAGAAAGGTTTCCATCTTAGAAACAAATTGACTCTGCTTGCAATCCTTCAAGAGGACAGGCGGAATTAAGAGAGTGGCAAGAGAAACCTGCTCAGCTACAAACTGAAGCTCACAGCCGAGCACCTCCCAGGGCAGGTGGAGAACAAAACACACAACCGCTTGCACTCCTCCAACCCACCAATGCAAAAGTGCCCCTCAGGAGACAGTCTGTAGCCTGGGCCGCATTCACAAGACGGATTCCCCTTCGTATCCTTCTTGCACGAGCAGGGTGAACAGTAGAAAATAAACACATTACAGTTGTCTGCAACAAAACGAAACACATAAAAAAGGAATGACAGGATGCATACATAGAGGGGAACGATGAGTATTGACAACCATGGAAGCATGACAAGCATGAGTTATGACAAGCATGGAATGAGAGGTACGCAACGTGAGCATCATGGTGTCGGATTTAGAAGCTGCCAAGCATTCACGCGATCATTGATGCCAATTCACATTGTCGCTGTCCCACATCTTGGCTGGACGCCATTGTGACATGCTACTTGCACCACTTTCTCTTGATATATTCCCCGGCTAGATGACGGGTCAATTGGAGCAAGTGGAGTGGAAGGCAGTCAAGTGAACTGAGCTCACCGATGCAAGTGACACTGCCGTCATCATACTGCTGCGTGAAGCCGGTGATGCAAGTACATTCCGGATTTCCGTCTGCATTTGTCCTGCACTTGCCGCCTGTCCCACAATCCACTGATTCACACTTGTCTGCACGTGGATACACATACAAGGAAATGATGAGGTTTGACAACAACGGGATTACGTAGTGATGCATCGTGAGTGTCATGCCTGCTGACGGCAGATCGAACCTCCCAAGCATGCACGTGATCAGTGACGTGATTCTCACACCATTGACCCCTTAATCACAATGCCACTGCCCCCAGTTCTTGCGTGTAGGCCAGCATAACGTGCTACTTCCACCATGCCTTTTTCTTGTTAGATGGACACTTGGGACAACTGAGCAAGTCCAGCAACTCAACCAGCACGCACAACTCACCAACGCAAGTGTCATTGCCCGGAAGCCTCTCGAAGCCCTTGATGCACTCGCAAGTTGTATTCCCGTTTGCATCCTTGACGCACGTTGAGTTGGCCTTGCACGTCACAAAGTCGCACTTGTCTGCAGTGCATGCGGATTAGGAGACGAGCAACAGAGGTGCGGTGGGTGAATAATGGAATGGGGGATGTAGGAGGAGAAAATAATCACATGTGAGAAATGAGGGGCACAGCATGGATTAAGAACGGCATCACTCGCTCCAGGTTGCAAGATGCAGCAAGAGCACAGGAAACACGAGGTAGGCCGAACGAACCAGGGAAGTGTAGCAGTGCTTACAGAGTGGACGCATGCATGCACTCCAGGCCCATCCATTAATGACTCGCTCGCTCCAGGTGCCACTCTGGGCAACTCACCAACACAAGTGATCTTGTTGGGAGGCATCTGGAAGCCAGTGTTGCAAGCACAGGTAGCATCTCCATTCGCATCCTTGATGCACTTGCCGTTGGGCCCACAATTCACAAAAGTACACTTATCTGTAATAGAAGAGAGGCGACATGGAAGCAAGCAAGGATAGCGTGTCTGGGATGGATGCAAAAGGGGAATGCATAGCAAGAAAGAACGCATTCAGTGGTTACAGATTGCACTTGTTTGAACTCACGTGCTGAGGAGTCTCGGTTACACCACACGCAACTCACCAACGCAGGTGTTGCTGTCAGGAGCATATTGAAAGCCCTTGTTGCACACACAATCCGGGACCGTGCTCGCATCCCTCACACAACTCGCGTTGACCACACAGTACAGATTGCACTTGTCTGCAGTGGAAGGGAGTAGGTGCGGAAGAAGAGGGAAACGGTCACTAGAACATACTGATAGCGTCCAGTAGAATCTTGCGCCCACAGCCCCACAACGGGCCAGCTTTGAAAAAGCCAATAGAATCATGCATGCTTCTCTCCACAGAACCACTCATAGTTGCGAGCCATAATGAGGATTCTAGCAAGCACAGTCCTTTTGCACCTTGGCAACCACAGCCGTGCACCCAGGCAAGCACAGCACGGTACCTTGGCAGGTGCCGTTGATGACAGCATAGCCGTCCTTGCAGCGGCAGGTGGCAGCCCTGCTGTCGATGTCGCTTGTCTCCCAGCACGCGGAGTTGGCGGGGCATGTGGTGTACTTGCACACCGTCGAGGACGCTGCACATGGCACGAGCACATTCACATTGGACTCTCTCTGCCAAACCTCGCTCGCTGATTTAGAAGCCTTGGGCCAAATAAATCAGGTTCGATGCACCAAGAGGTGAAAGGCAGCAAGGGGTGAAAGGCAGCAAGAGGGGAAAGACAGCCAGGGGTGAAAGGCAGCAAGGGGTGAAAGGCAGCAAGGGGTGAAATGCAGCAAGGGGTGAAAGGCAGCAAGGGGTGAAAGGCAGCAAGGGGCGAAAGGCAGCAAGGGGTGAAAGGCAGCAAGGGGCGAAAGGCAGCAAGGGGTGAAAGGCAGCAAGGGGTGACAGGCAGCAAGGGGTGAAAGGCAGCAAGGGACGAAAGGCAACAAGAGGTGAAAGGCACCAAGGGACGTACGGATTCCGCAGACAACTGACGCGAGTGCTTGGGATGATGTGAAGGCCGCGGTGTTGCTGCTTGGGGGAAGAAGAGAACCTTCCCATCCCCCACCCGTGCCCAACCTTGCCCCACACGCATCGTCCACCCAGATCCACGGCACTGCCTAGCACTGCCGGGCACGTGCACGGACCTGGAGTAGGAGTAGATGTGTTGCATGACGGCGCCGTTGCAGGTGGCACCCGGGAAGAACGACACCCGGGAGCACGGCCCACTCGCCCCGCCCCCCGGCAAGCTGCTGGCGCTCCCCCACTGCACGCTCGCAACCGTGCTCACGCCGGCGGGCGCCGTACCGGCGGGAGCAGCGCCCACTCTCGCCGCCGTCGTCACTGCCACCCTCGCCTCCACCTCTGTGGGCCACCCCGCACTCGGGTCCACCGGGTCTCCCGCTGATGCCACCGGGGTGATGCCATGCAGGAAGGGCGCGGGCAGAGCGGCACGGGGAGGTGAGGGGGTCAACAGGGTAAGAGAGAGAGGAGGACGTTCGAGGCATTGGCCGCGGACGAACTCGGCTTGCAAGGAACGTTCACCCCTCTGAGCGAGGGGCAGCTGCACCAGCTGACCGAGTCCCCGTTCGACCACTAAAGTCGAAATGGGTGGGGGGGGGAGGATTAAGAGCTTGTCGGTAGGTAGTAGAATGCATCTAATCCGTACGCTTGCTATACTTAATACAAGGTCCATTCGAGAGAGAGGACTCGTGGCTTCTGAAGCACGAGGCAGCGAGTGAAGCTGCTCCGGCGGAGGGAGGGCACCCGCCATACTGAGGCAATGCTGCAAGTCTATGCATGCAATGGGCGAAGCTCTCACTGCACCGCTTCTAGATAAGTGCCTTGGGCGCAGCGCAGGCCACGCCTTTGGTGTCCGTGGTTGGCGTGCGGGTGCCATTGGCAGGGCACGTGACGTACAGGCACGCTGATGAGGCATCCGGGATTAGCTCCTCGCTCGTTTAGTCACCAAGTTTATTGTGCAACGACAGGCACTCTACTGACTGACAGGGCGTGCACTGGAGGAAGGGCGACAAGGAGACTGTCGCCCTTCCTCAGCGCGACAAGTACCGATGCCGCAGCGAGCCGAAACTGGATACCGATAGGGGAGACTGGAATTGGTGGTGCTGGTGGTCAGGCTGTAGAGGGGAGGGGAGGCACAGGAAGCACGCGAGAAATTTTTTTTTTTGGTTAAGCCACCATGGAAGAAATTAAGCTGCCTCGTTAAAGCTTAAATCGCATACCGTTCAATGATACGATTCCAGGCAACCAGTTTTGGTTCGACGCCAACACGTGATTGAAATCAGATTCGACGGCACTGTACCCTACCCCACCCCGTGGCACAGGCGCGACGCTTGTTAGAGGACCCTACGACAGCAAGGGCCCTCGATGACCTTTGACTTGGCAGGTCGGCGCCTAACGACTGAGTCTACTCGGCACCGACGCACGAGTTCGGTGGCGGTCATTAGTGACTACGGGTGACTGTGAGCTACTGCAGCGAACTCGGCGGAATCGGTGCTAGGAATGACGAGTCTTGGGGGTCGTAGGTGCCTTGCTTGTGAGGCACGCTGCTCACTTGCTGTGTTGGCAGGAGTAGCGTGCACGATGAGACATTCCGGTGCCGAGTTGGGTTGGAAATGTGCGGGGCGCGTTCTCTCACCTGCACAGCACTTTCGTGTGGGTTGGGTTACTCGCAGCGCCACGCAACAATTGTGCAACTCGTGCTTGCCTATATATGTTTGTGTTTGCTCGTGTGTTTCATACTTGATATTGCAATTCTACTTGGCCCAAATGCTACTTCAATTCTCACAAAGTCCTTAGAGGCAAACGCTACCAAAACTCTACCAAGTTGCTGGCGCAACATCATTCCCATAGCAGAGACTCTCTCGCTATCGCTACGCTCTCTAATATATTCCTTCATGGTGCGGTGAGCGTGGAACGAACACGCATAGATTTCCGTCGTCGTTGATATTCGCGTTCGTATACTCGCCTTGGCGTGCGGCGTTAGTGAAGGGCGCTTATTAATCTAAGTTGAACCTCTCTTGATTTCCCTCCAGTTACGTTCTCGGACCCAAGGATAGGGCGTTTGGTAATTTATTACCACTCGTCTGAGGACCCTTGTGAGGTGACCCCGAGACGAGGGATTTAAGGAAGGGGCACTTTATTTTAATTTGTGGTACCTTATAGAGACGTCGTAGAGGATGAGTACAGAGGAGGCGAACGTGGAGGCCGGTAATTTGCGCGCCCTAGAGGAGGATCTCGTGGCTCGTCATTCTCGTGGTGAGATTAGTGATATCGAATACGAGCTAATGTTGGAGGGATTGCGCTCGCGTCGGCGTCGTGAGCACCCTTCGCCACGTGTAGCGAATGTTGAGCAAGCTGCGGGAGGTACTAGTGCGTGGGATATGGTTGTCGATGGCGGAAATAGCGATGACGAGGAGCTTGATGGGTTGATGTCGCGTGGGGTCCTGCGAGGACCAACTCGGTTCAGTACGGCTAGCGTCGGCGGTGTACAGGAGCATGTTCATCGTGCAGCAGCGTCACGAGAGCATGCGAATGTAGGACGGCGGAGCGTTGCTAGAGGAGGAATTGCGGAAGAGTTCGATAGTGAGGCTATGCCGGGCGTTACCCCGATTGGATCGATGTCGAGGGACGAGGGAATAGCCCCCAACTATGGCTACTTCAGATTCACTCCAGACAAGATCGCTGTCACTAGGCCGTTAGAAGGACGTCACGACCTGTCGACGTGGACAGAATCAATCGAGCCGCAGCTTGAGATCGCTCAGCTAAAGCGATTCATAGATGGCACCACCCCCATTCCACCTGCGCGTGCACTTGCGCATCTCTCCCAGTTCCACGCGATGCAGTTGCTGACGCTCACCACCATCTCCCGATGCTGCTCCCCAACCGTACAGATCGCCCTTAAGGCGTGTCGCATGAAGGTAGATGCCGGCTATTAGGCATGGCAGTTTATTATGCGCACGTACATGGCGAAGGATGATCTGTACATCGGTCAGTTAGAGCAGGCGCTCACTAACCTCGAGATGGGAGAGCACGAGACCGCTACGTCCTATTGCAACCGTGCGCAGCAGATCCTAGTGAACCTGAGGATGGCCGGCGTAGATTACTCGCAGGCGTCATACATCACTCACGTTGTGAAGGGGTTGCCGCAGCAGTACAACCTCTTACGCAGGATGCTGAAGTTGCCGCAGGTGCGCAAGGAGTTGGACGAGGACACCCTCGCTAGCTACATCATTGAGGAGGAGTGTACGCTGGCGGCGGAGGGACGAAAGGACCAATTCCTTCCCCAGGCTAACCAGGTCTTTACCAAGAAGGGTAAGCCCCAATTCCAGCAGACTTCATTCCCTTCCCCTCCCACTACGGCACAGCAGCAGCAGCCTAAGAATGGGGGTGGGGTTGGTGGGGGAGGGGAGAAGTGGAAAGGGGGTCAGGATGGCCAGCCGAAGAGGGGGAAAGGGGGCTTCAAGGGGAAGTGCTATGTGTGTGGACAGACAGGGCATGTTGCTAAGTACTGTCAGCAGCGGGCGGATAAGGAGGCAGACACTGGTGGAGAGGGTTCTGGAGGTAGCAGCGGAAAGGGGGGTAATGGCTCTAAGGGGAGCGGGCAGTCATCATGTGCGATGGTGAAGCCCGTTGTGGAGCAGACTCCTCTCGTTGTGCTAGAGCCTGAGGCCGGGGAGGGCTTACAGGCTGTTGCAGCTGCTGTGAAGGCGAACCCGAGCGTCGTGCTGCTTGATAGCGGATGCTCCCACCATCTCATGGGAGATCGTTCTGCCTTTGTGGAGATGAGCAGCGGCGGCAGTATTAAACAGGTTACTGGCTTCAACGGCGCGCTTCAGGAGGTGCAGGGGCGGGGCACAGTCGCTCTTCTTGGAGAGGGGGGCAGGCGTGTCTTGGTGCCGGACGTGCTGTACGTACCAGGAGTGCAGGCGAGTCTTCTCTCTGCTAGGCAGCTGCGTGATAGTGGTGTGCAGCTGCTGGATGCCGGGGATGTGACTTTGCTGCGGGCACCAGATGGATCGCTCCTTGGTCGTGCGGAGTTCAAGGGGCGTGTTTTCTGCACGAACTTCCAGCCGTGTTCGACGCAGCAGCAGGAAGGCGAAACGGTGGCACTTCGTACCTTGGCGACGGGCGTGCGGTCTAAGGGGGACCTGTGGCATGCGCGTATGGCACACGTTGGTATTGATGCCATCGAGCGCACGGCGGCTCACGGGTCAGTGAAGGGCTTGGATTTGGAGAAGGGGGGCAAGTCAGGCATACCTTGTGTCTCCTGTGTTGCGGGAAAGATCACTCGTCATACCTTTCCTTCTGTGGGAGAGGAGGAGGATGAGTTGCTCGGGGTGGTGCATGCTGACCTGTGTGGCCCTTTCCGTGAAGCAGCTAAGGACGGCAGCCGCTACTTCTTGGTGCTGAAGGATCGCAAGACGCGATATGTCTGGGCCTACCCTTTGGCCCAGAAGAGTGATGCGCTGGCGGCGTTCCAGAAGTGGCTCCCGATGGCAGAGCGGCAGTGCAAGACCACGGTGAAGGCGCTGCGCACTGATCGGGGTGGCGAGTTCCTGGGACACGACTTCACCCTCTTCCTTGACGAGAAAGGCATCCTCCATGACCTCACGTGCCCGTACATGCCGGAGCAGAACGGGATGGCGGAGAGGGAGATGCGCAGCATTGTGGAGGCAGTGCGGACGATGTTGCTGCACATGGGTGTGCAGCATCACTGGTGGCACCTGGCGCTGGCGCAGGCCGTCTGGGTGCGCAACCGCGTGGAGCACGCCTCGCTGCCCTCTGGTGTGACACCGTACGAGCTCGCCTTCCGACGCAAACCCGATGTCAGCAGCGAGCAAGGGCTGGCACGTGCTGGACTTGGAGTCCAACCGCCTCATCACCACTGTGGAAGCAGTTTTCTATGAGACCATGTCTTTGGCAGGATGGAAGGCTTGGCATCAGCAGGAGCATGGGGGGCGTCCGATGCCCTATGAGCCCCTTCCTTCACTCTTCCCAGGCACTCTTGAGGAGGAGGTGGAGGAGGAGGAAGTGGTCGCACCTCCTGCTATGCCCTATGTCCCTACCTCGGTCCCCACCCCACCTCTGCCTTCAGTTTACCCTCGTGTGGTTCCCCCTGCCCCACCTTCTTCATCCTCACCCCCCTTGGCTTCCCCTCCTCCTCCTATTATCCCCTCTCCCCTTCCACCCTCCATCCCTTCTACACCTGCTCCACCCTCCTCTTCGTCTTCCACGGCACCGCCCGTTGGTGAGGGGGGGATAGTGGTGCCGCCGTCCATGGTGATCACCGACGGGCAGCCCCTTGTGACTGGCAGCTGCAGGATGAGAGTAGTATGGATGGAGTGCAGCAGAGTGGGGGAATGGAGATAGGGGAGCAGCAGATAGGGGTGCAGCAGAGTGGGGAGCTGCAGATAGGGGAGGAGCAGATTGGGGACCAGCAAATGGTGGACCAGCAGCCAGGGGAGCAGCAGACAGGGGAGCCGCAGACGGGGGAGCAGGAGATGTGGGGAATCAGAGATGGTGGCCGTGTGTTGGCTTCTGGGACGATCAGTGCGCCACTGCGTCGCTCCACTCGCATCACTCGTGGTATCCCGCCTCTTAAGTATGCTTGGGCTTTAGTGGTTGAGCCAGCGGGATTGGATGACGAGGAGGAGGACGAGGAGTGGACGGACC